GAATAATTTACTTACTTTTCACTCAACTGTCCTCCTTCTAGGCCTCGGTTCTCCTTACCCCAGCCGCCTCCGATATTGAGAGGAGTTAGCCATGACCTACTCCAGCCCCTAACCAGCGAACTGTGCACGGGTTCACGCTAATGCTTTTACTCCTAATCAGCACTTTGTCGGAGAGAGGGGTATAAAAGCTTTCTGGGGCAGAGGATCGTCTCACAACTGCAGTCGACTAGCGTCTGTCTGCCAAACGAGCGTTTTCCGAGTCGGCACTTCTGTCGCTCAGGTCTAGATCTTGAGGTGACTATGTCCAACTTTCTTGTTTGAAGAAAATGGATTTTTTATGGCCAGGTGTAATAGTAGTGGGCGACTTTTTGACGTCATAGATAGATATACTAGATACGCACACGCACACATGGAGAATGGCGATTGTTGTGAAAGATATGCTACAGACCGTCTGGGCGGAGAGGGATTTTGTACCGTCAGGCGTGATGCAACATCGTTTGGATGATGTCATTGTTACTGTTTTCTTTGTCGTTTTAGCCCAAATGGACATGGTAACTTCTTGCGCTCCTGGCACGCTTGTTGATGATTTGATCACGTGCTTGGTTTGATGGTGTCCGGTTTGTTGACAGTTGACACAGACCTCTGTGTGTACATTGCTGTGATCTTCAGGCTGCTTTATGCAGAGGTTTTCGCGAATGATCGCTCAGCGTATATTCTTCACATCTTAGTTTCCAGTTTGGTAAAAGTTTTACGACGCTCGCAGCAGCATACTAAGGCCAATACGAGCATGTTTTCTATTCACTGGTGGAAATAACTGTCTTTGCTAGTTTTTGCTGCTGTAGTTGTTGTGTTGTTATTTTTTTAAAGTAAATAATTTTAGTAAATGAACTATGCACTTCGGTAATTAAAAATGTCTGAGCGAAGGTTTTGACTTCGGCACTTTTGGGATTTTCCACGACATTGTCTGGAACGGAGCGCATTTTTGTTGTTGCTGCTTGACTCGTTCATTTGTTCGTTCGCTACAATTTGTTAGTTTGGTTTTAGAGGTTTTATTGGGGAAGAGGAGGAGGGTTGGGGGATGGGGGTGCCTCTAAACGCTTTCCTTTTTGTGTGGATAAAGAGTTTTTGTGTGGATAAAGAGTAAGGTTCTCATATTCGGTTCAGGAGTGCGATGAGTTGTCTTCAAGCAGGGCGTCATGTTCCCCTCTGGCTGAACGTTTCGTCCAGGTATCGGTTCTCTCCCAAGTCTCCGATACATTGGACTACGTTCACAGCCAGAGGCAGCGGTCTTCGGTTTGTTTTAGGAAGGTTTTACGGCGCTTGCGACTTTATAATGCCATATGAGCGCCACAACGGTCGTCTGTTTGTTTTAGGAAGGTTTTGCCTTACCAACTTGTACCAACTGCATCATGTCATATGAGCGCCAAACCAGTCTTCTAAAAAACAACTATGTCAAATAGCGAAACAAAACAACAAAACAACAAAACGACTTGCCAACGTCTCGGGAAAAGAAAGAGCTGATGGTTGAAGCGCAATCGGTTAGTTTTCTATTCTCCGTTCAAGGTTGTAAAACGCTCGACAGTACTTGTGAGAAACCTCAACGGCCTGAGGCTTGCTGGTATTCTAAAAAAACCAAACCCAACTGAGTCAATGATCGTGTTTGGAGGTAAAGTGTTACAAACGGTGAAGAAAACCAAAATCAAACAAAACAACCCAAGAAATAAACGAGAGAAAAACCCACCTCAAAACGACGGGTTTCGGTTATTTTCGAACACACATGTTAAAGCTTGAGAGTAGATCTAGAGAGAGTATTTCAAGGGCTCCAACACACCACACACCAAGCGCCAAGTCTGTGGGGGATTCCCAGAAACCCCGTCCACGCCATAGTCTTAGGAACAGAATTGTCGTGGGAATACTTTTCTCCACTATAATTATGGCTGTCAAAGATCTTACATGTCGTTATATACGATCTTTGGTGCAGTGTACCCTTCGATACAATATAGTGTATGATAACACTAGGTTGCGTTTATACTTTTGTTTTCAGAGAATGAGTTGGGTTTTTTTCTGTCAACTTTCTCAACCTGATTGTAAATTATGTAGACAGGTAGGCCTTGCATGGAGTGCGTTTTACTTTGGGGGCCCGTACGACCTAACTTAAAGAAGACTGCGGCGTTTGACTCAGGACTTAAGATCATGTTTGCGAAGTCAGAGCTGTGGCCTGGTAACTATCTGGAATTTTTAAAAAGCACGCTCAAAAGTCTTGAGTTTTAAAAAAAAAGCACGCACAAAAAAAAAAACACACACAAACACACACACACACACACACACACACACACACACACATGAAGGCAGCTTTTACTCCTACATCGACCCACATTGGATCATGAAGAAGGCAGGCCACCGACCCTGCCTGCCTGTCAAGACCGACCCTGCCTGCCTGTCAAGACCGACCCGGACTGAGAGGAATACAACATCCCAGGAAGCATCAAAGACCGAGATACTCCACCGATAGTTTTTCCCCGTACGGGAATCGAACTTGGTTCTCCTGCTTATACGACATCCAAGTACCTAACCTCTACACCATAGACGGGGCGGAAAAAGACAAGGGCTATTACTTTACATACTGGTATAATCGTCATAACAGGCCGTGGAGTGTGGGGGTGTTTTGGTTTTAGAGTTTTTAAAATTAGTTTTGCTCTTAATCCTGACCAATTTCTTACCTTACCCCGAGGACAAACTAGACGAAGCAATAGCAATGATGTAGACGGCATTAATTTGGTCAACTTGGCGTCACTGCCAACTTCTCGAGGGAAACGGGGACGGGTTCAGCGCTGTACAGGCACGCTTCCTTAACCCTTACGTGACTGACCGTAGTTCTTGGGTTGTGTTCTACGAGCTCAATGATTTCTTCTAAATTATGTCTTGAAATGGTGAATTTTTGCACTGAATTCCCACCGTAATCAAGGAAGAAACAGAAAAAAGCAACGCCACTTCTAGCTAGAACGAGTGTGATGAATGGCATCTGTCTGAAATCTCTCCAGTGTTTTAC